CTAATGGAAGTACGATTGTAAACTAAACATACTTCGTCGCTATCATATTGCAAAATCACATTTTATCTCACTCAAAACCACTTCAATAACGAACAACTCAGCTCGCTTTCAACTTCCCACAGCTAACTCAGCTAGTTGCTGAGTAATCTGACGTGGTAGATTACAAGTTTCGACTAGTTTTAAGTGCTACTTTTAGACAATTCCAGTTCTAGAGAACTATTTCCTCAACTATTCCCTCGTCGAGTTTACTATAAAATAGTAAACTCGACGAGTTTACTATTTTCTCGACTATATAAGCAACTCGTTTTCAATTGTTCTCTTACTTACAGTTCATTTACGATGAATTCTATAACACGCAATCTTTCATATTACATCGGGACAATTTCCGTTGATTCCATGAGTATTACCGTATTCAGAGGGGTTTTTCTTATGTGACTAGATGCACTGATTCATTCATATTTATGCACTGATCTGAAGATATGAATGCTTCACAAAGTGAATTCAGCTTCATTGAATTTTGCTTACAATTGGAAAGCATTTGATTGTGACTAATCAACTCAACGTCAAGGTACCATTAAAACTTCCACTGAAACTCGCCTATATGAATGCATCTGGAAAGATGTTTCACTTCGATTTCGTCGAATTGAATCTCAGTAACGGAAGACATCTTTGGCAATTGAACGTTTCTGATTACTGCAATATTCTACAACAAAAACAACCCATGTATGTGTTCCTTCATGCTTATTGAATGCATCAAATACGCTTTCGTAGATCAATCAGTCTAATTCAATCGCCTTCGCTCTATCGAATATTGTAGTCCAATTATGAGGTTTTGATTACGCCTCATACCAACTCACTAATTTTGTACACTTTTTCGACAATTTCGTTCATTTTTGATTCGCGTGAATTATTTTCGCATGAATTGTCCATTATTTCTAAAACATTCATTCAGTGTGACTTAAGCAATCAATTTTAATGACAACGTTGAATGTGCTGATTGTGATTCGTCAAGCAGTCGGATATTAATGCAAAAAACTTTATTATTCAACATTAATAAAACCAACCAAACTTCCTCTCTAACATTTTTTAAAACGTAATTTACAGATTCATGTCGATTCGCTCTCTTATCGAACACTATCAATCACTGGTGAACGCACAACAACTGAACACTTCCGGAAAACGGGATATTTTCTCGATTGAAAATTCAAAATAACAACCAAAAAATCACTGCCTCTGAAAGAATTTCATGAAAACTCAAACAATTTTATCGTTTACGTCTACGAATTTCATACTCTACTCAATCGCCAGACGACTGCAATTGTCGCTGTTAGAAGAAAAACAAAACAAAAAACAAAGCAAAAAACAGCATGGAATGTCTTCGTGGCAGTATATTCTTAAGATTGTTGTTATTATCATTACAGAACAAGATCAATCCAACTTTGAATAGGCAAGTCAATCCAATTTTCAATGAATAAATAAACAAATAATCAAACAACGCATTCTAATGAACATCTAAAACACCATAACCACTGAAGCAAACGCATAACAATCGCTCAATTAACCAGAACATCTCCATTCTATCAAATTATTTTCATTTTTATTATTCAACGGGTAAAAATTTCGCCTAAATCAACAATTCAATATGGAAAACTTTAAGAGAATATATTCAAATATATCAAAAATAAAAACAGAATAACTTTCAACGACAATAATTCAATGAATCCACTTGAAAACAACATGCAATGGAATGAACGAACAATACTTAAATTAAGATTAACAAATAATAAAATGATTCGACAAATCCACATAATTTTGTTCTCCCCACAAATTCCAAACCAATAAAACACTCAATAACTATCCCAGATCGTCATCTTGGTCAATCTGGTTCCGAATAACAACCACAGCAACACCAATAAAATTATTGATAACAAAAAATTTGTCACTATCAAAATCGATCGCCAAAGTATCAGCCCATACAAGAGTAAACTATCCATATGTCCTTTACTAAGCTCATATCCTCCCCGTATCATTCCTACCAATTCAGTTAAGTTTCTTGCACATTCCCCACATTAACCAACCGGTAAACACAAAACCAACAATTAATCAATCAATGTAAACGTTCAAAAATGTTCAAATAAAACTAAT